GGATACAACACTGGATGCCTTAGGGATTTGCACTTGGCCTTGTGCTTTTCAACATTTCTATCAGTGACTTGTATAAAGGTATTGATGGCTTGCTTATCAGATTTGCAAATGACACAAAGCTGGGTGTGAGAATGGGGGCCAGATAGCAATACATTGGATAGAAGAAAAATATCTTGACAGGAGAACTTAGGGTTGAATCCAAGAAGATTAAATTCAGTGCTGTTAAAAACAAAGCAAATTCACAAGTACAAGATGAGGGAGGTGTGGTTGTATAGCAGTTCTCTGAAACAAATCTGGGGTTTTTAATGAACAGCAAGCTCAGTATGAGTCAGCAGTATGATATGGCAGCCAAAAAAGTCTGACATGATCATGGCTAAATTAAGAAAAAATAAACTTGAGCAGCTTTAGTGCCAGGTGTAGAGGACCCCTGGCTCGCAGCTGCACTAGTGTTGTCCCGGCCACTGCCTAGCAGAGCCCAAGTATATTGCAAACTTACAGGAACTATACTTGCCTCCACTGTTATGGAGGAAGGGGATACAGTGAAGAGTTCACATTGAAAAAGGATTCTGTATAGGTTGTAAGGCTCCCTAGATGCACCTGTCTGTGGATCATAATGTAGGGTTGTACCAAGCACCAAAACACTACATACTCTCCCAGATGAGAACCATTATCATTCAAAAGTGTTTGGCCTGTCTTTTTATATAAGAGAAACCAAATGAATAAAGAATTCCTATTGTTTAATTTATGATATGCAATTGGATGGGTAGCTGTTAGAAACTGGTCCAACAGTACCTTGGACAGACGCTGTACACCAATAGTGAACTAGACCCAGAATTAAACAAGAGGGTAGACGGAGTGCCCTTGTGAAATTGTCAGGCTCTTGTAATGACCCTAAGTATCTCCATGAAATAAAGGCCCATCTTTTTATCATCTGTAGTTAACAGATTTGTGTCAGTGGTGGGAGTTTCCCACACTGATGAAATCACAGGTCTGGCCAAAAATAATATTCCTCCAAGTGTGTCTTAACAGCTTTAAATTGAGGAATACCTTGGTTTGTGAAGAACTGAAATGGAAACTTACTCCAAAAAAACAAAACCAAAAAACGGCCCATTGTGGGCATGGGCATGACCATGTTGTATATTACAACTGAAGAATTACACAAAAAAAGCTGTGTAGGAGATACAATCCAAAAATGTTATGATTGGAAAAAATGACACTGTTCAAATAGCAGGAATAAGGGGCAACTAACAGATAACACATGTGCTCTATTGGCATTCATGTGATGTTATAAGAGGTCTTATGAGCATGGATGATCCTAAGGGCACTCATATCATTAAGATCCATTTTGTTGTCATATTGGCGTAGTGTAGCTAATGCTGATGATGACTCTTTTCTTCCTAGCACAGAATAGAGTTTTTTCACAAATATTTTCTTGCCTATTAAATTTTTACAGTCTTTATCAGTATTTCAAGAGCGCTAAAACCTTGACTATGTGTTCCTATTCTGGACCGTAGATAAAAAGTTATATACAAAGAAGCGAGACAAATCCAGGGACACATCAGTAAAATTCAGTGTTATTGCTGAAGAAATGATTGATGTAGTTCATTTGCTATTGGCATAATCCTGTCCTGCGTCATAATTGTTATGCTAAGGTAATCTGTAAAGATAAGGAAAGATAAAAAGAATCACATTTTACTGCATCCATAATTCAGTACTATTTTGTCTGTACACAGGCTATTGCATGTTGTTTCCATTAAATTGTGAGCTTCTCAAGGACTAGGACTATCTTTTGCCTTTGTTTGTATTTCCAATGATTAGCACAGTGCCTGGCACACAGTAGGTGCTTAATAAATGTTTGTCCTAGTTTCCACTGTATCTGCAAGGAAATTTCTCTGAAATAGAATTGGTGAAAATCAAACTGAGATGTAATCCTGCTTAAGAACTTGATGCTCTCTACCTTCAGCTGAAATGAATTTATCTTCAGATGAGTCACGTAATTTCTTTCTATGTATATTAGTGTCAGTTAACACAGTTCTTGGCACAAAGTAAGTGCTCAGTAAATGCTTATTGACTGTTGTTGGGTTGCTCCAAAAGCACAGGATCTTAGATAAAATTACCAAACATTATATATAGAATAATGTTAACATAATTTGATGATGAATGAACTGAAATGTCAGTCTTCAAAGTGAAGCTGAAAATTAGATTATTTGCAGACAAAATTGAATGAAGGAAAAGTTCCCCCCTCCAGAAAAAAAAAAAGCTTAAATCCTCCTGGGTCTTTCATGCCCATATGTTTATTTTTAAATAATAATGAAAATGTGGGGTAATTCCAATTATGAACTTGAAAAAGCAGGTTCATTACAATACAATGTGAAAATACTTAGATGCCCTTGGGCAACCATCTGTGTTCTCCTTTTTCAAGATTGTGTCAAAAGAAAAACTGATTAAAGTTATTTTAATCTTTAATCTTTTGTAGTGCATAATACAAAACTATTTTGTACTGTAATATGTACATCACTTTATAAAAGGACAGGACAATCCAGTGGTTTTATTTTTTAAATGAAATTGGAACTATTAACATTCTTCTTACTTGTAGGAAAAAACAATCAAACCCTTAAATGGGACCGAAAAAGAAATGTTTTCCAAAGAAATAGAAAGCTTAAATTCTTTGATGGCGGGGTGGAGAATTTTTTTTCTAGTCTGTTTAGCCTATTTTCTCCCTCTTCTAAATTACACTCATTTCCATTTTCCCCATGTATTTTATGGTACCTCTGGAATGAAAATAACTTATAAGTATAACTTAAAAAGCATAGATGGGTATAGAGGAGACCACAACCTGAAGAAACCAGCGTCATGCAAAATAAAGTGCCTCACTTATTGATCATTATTTAGTGTCATGTAACTGATATTTAAGTTTTAATTTCTTGGGATTTTGTTATTCATTCGTTATTTGTCTGATATGAGTATAGTTTTAAAATATGTATTCATTAAGAAACTGCATGCGTTATATTTTCTTAAAACCTCTCTCAACTAAGAAATAAGATAACATATATAGAATCTCAGAATTGGAAGGAACCTCAGAGACCACATGATCCTACCCGTTCCTGAACAAAAATCCCTTCTACAACAGTACCAGTGAGAGGACATTCAACCACTGCTTAAAAACCCCTCAGTCAGGTGGAATCCACCATTCTCCCAGGAATTTTATTCCACTTTTGAATAGCTTCCAACCCTTAGTAAGTCTTCCTTTATCAAGAATAAATTTGCTTCCCTTCAACTTCCACACCTTGCTCCTGGTTCTGCTGTCCGGTGCCATGCAAAACAAGTCTCCCTCTTTTACCTGGCAGTCCTTCAGGTACTTGAAGACAACTTTCATGTGTCTCACCTAACTCCTCTTCTCCAGGGCAAAACATTCCCATTTTTTCAACTGATCCCCGTGTAATAATGTTTGAAAGCTCTTTACCACCTTGGTTGCTCTTTTCTAGACATTAAAGGTTATCAGTATTTTTTTCTTAAATGTAGTGTGTAAAATTGAACACAGTATTCCAGGTGTGATCTGAACAAGATAGAGCACAAAAGGGCCTAGACCCCATTCCTCCCTTACTTAAATGCAGCCTGAAAATACATTAGCTTTCTTGGCTTCCATATCGTGATGTTCATAGGGTCATAGATGTAGAGCTGGAAAGGACCATAAAGGTTATCTAGCACCACCTCTTTATTTTTATGGATGGGAAAATTGAGCCCTAGAGAGGTTACAAATCTTTCCCAAGCTCATTTAAATAGTAACCAGTAGAGCTGGGCTTTGAAGCCACTTTCTCTGACTCAGGTCCAACGTTCTTTCACTCTAATAGTTCTTAAAGAAAAATTATAAAAAGTTCTTCAATTGAGGTCCACGGGTAGATTTCAGGTGGGTCTGTGAACGTGGATAAAAAAAAAAATAGAACTTTGTTTTTGCCAGTCTCTAGCTGAAATATAGCATTTCCTTCAGTTATTTAAAAAACATGGGGCAGCTAGGTGGCACAGTGGATAGAGCACCAGCCCTGGATTCAGGAGGACCTGAGTTTAAATGTGACCTCAGACACATAACACTTAACTAGCTGTGTGACCCTGGGCAAGTCACTTAACCCCATTGCCTAGCTAAAAAAAAAAGAAAAAAAACATTCTGAGTAATGGGGGGAGTGGGGGTTGTCTATAATACAAGAAAGGTTAAGAAATGCTACTCTTAGGGGCAGCTAGGTGACACAGTGAATAGAGCACTGGCCCTGAAGTCAGGAGTACCTGAGTTCAAATCCAGTCTCAGACCAAACACTTGACACTTATTAGCTGTGTGACCCTGGGCAAGTCTCTTAACCCCAACTGCCTTAAAAAAAAAAAGGGAATGCTACTCTTGATTTCCTCTACTTCTTGTTCAGCAACACATGAATAGGAATGAAAGAGGCTGATGGGAGAAGTAATCTAGGCTTGTGGTTTGGCAAAGCATGATCAATGGTAAGCCCTTTTTGTAGTAGGAAGGAACTGGAAACAGAGTAAATGCCCATCCTTAGTGAATGGCTAAACAAACTACAGCATGTGAATATAATGAAATATTACTATACTGTAAGAAGCAATGAATATGGACAATCTGGAGAAGGAAAAAATGCACACAAATCACTGCAGCAATGTAAAGGGAAAGTGAATGCTATATCATTATAAGGATCAAGTTGTCCTTGAAGAAGAGTTGAAAAAGTGCGCCTCCTTCCATTTTCCTGCAGAGGTTCAGGACTATGGGTGTAGAACACAGCATATGTTGCCAGTCTTGGTTGATGCGTTAGTTTGTCTGAATAATTTTTTTCTTTCTTTTTTGTTACAATGAGTCGCTTTCTGGGGAGATGGGGGGGATATATCTGGAAATGAAAGTGATAAAAACGAAAGAACATTTTTTTAAATGTGAGGAGTGGTATCATGTCTACCGGACAATATGTATAATGATTTGTTCTCATTTCTGTTTTTCTCTATTCAAGGTTTGATCCAGACAGGTTTGATGATGAATCTGCTATGAAAAATCTTTCTTTGCTTGGATTTTCAGGCACACAAGAGTGCCCTGAGTTGAGGTAAAGTGAATTAGGAAGAGGAGAGGTGCCTGTTTCTTTGGTTTTAATTTTGGCATCCATTATAGATGAAAAAAATTATCATCTGTTTTATCTTTTCTTTATGTCATGTTTTTATATAATTATTTGCCTTTCTTTCTGACTAGGTTTGCATATATGGTGGCCACAGTGCTTCTAAGTGTGCTGGTGAGAAAACTGTGCTTACATCCTGTGGAAGGGCAAGTTATTGAGACCAAATATGAGCTGGTAACATCGTCAAAGGAAGAAACATGGGTCACTGTTTCTAAAAGAAACTAAAAATGAATGTCAAGTTGCAAAAAAGAAAGCGCTTCAGCCCGCTGGTGCTGAGAATTCATTTGTTTCACTGAAAAATGATATCCTAAATCTATCATAGGGTTTGGTGTTCAGACCTTAACTTTTTTCTACATTTTTAACATTATCTTCTTTTTCATATTAATATTCCTTTACTAAAGTGAATTTAATACAGACATTTGTTATTTGAACCACATTGACTCCAGGAAGTGTGATACAGAAGTGAAGGTTTTTTTGCAAGACCATTTCTAAACACTGCCTTGTCATAACAGACCAGCCATGAGCAGTGTATCCTTTAGGGCTGACTGGCAGTGAGGACCACTGTTTTAGACAGCAATAGCTAGTAGTTATAATTTTCATTGTTTAATATTAAATTATCCATTGTGTTCTAGTTTTTACATAAAACATTTACATTAAATGGTCCCTGTTTTGAAGAATTTTAATTCTAAGAAAGCATAAAGCATGTATTATACATACTATTATACATTTTAAATATGCAAAGGGAACTGAATATTTATAGAAATATTGTGGCAAATCATTTTATAAACAAAGAAACCTTTTGTAATATGAATTTTACCTAATTTGTTTTATAATTTAGATTTGTGTATGCTCTATAAGATTTTCTTAAAGCAGAGCGTATTTGTAACTATATTGTACCAAGATACTGCTCACTTTAAATGGATAGTTTAGCTTTATATTTTTGAATTAATGTTTTCCCATATCACCTCCTACCTTTTATTTTTCTTATATAATTGAAATTGTTATTCTTGGGGGAAAATTGTTTGGCAGATTGGAGGAGGCAAGAGTTTGGTGACATATCTTTCTAATAGTTACTTATATACTTGCATACTCTACCTCTTATTATGTGTTCTACCTCTTATCGTGACACCTAGTTGTTTTGACAGGTGTACCATTTTAGTATAAAAAGAATAGGAAAGAGAAGGGGAGATTATCTTCCTTTAAAAAAAAACAACAGTCTAGGAATTCTCTATATCTTTCATTCAAGACAAATGAAAAACCAGTTGAAGAAGTAGAGTCTTGCAACATCCCCCAAGAATTGTGTCTCAGCAATAGATGTTACTGACTGATGTACTGTGGATGCAGAGGATTCTACAGGCACCCAAGGAAATACTCACGTGATAGATGTTTGGGGTAACAGTCATCTACCACACACCAGACAAGTAGAATGAGCACATTAAGAGCATAGATTGGCTGGATATGGTTCAACCTCAGTTCCTTACTATTGAAATAAAATTATATGGAAGAAAGGAAAAGACCATGTCTTTGGGATCTGGACCCCAAAAAGGCCACATGGTCCAGGTCCCTGGTGCAGGAAGAAAAAAATTATATGGAAGAAATACGTTAAATGGATTAATAATAAATATAGGTATAGAGAGTCTTAATTCCTATGGCAGTGGGTAGAATGGCAAATTCTAGATTCCAGAACCTCTTCCTAGCCCTCAGTCTTCATCACCAGTGTGATGCACTGACATCTGCCAGTATAGGATATGAGGCAATTGAGAAAACTGTCCAAATAGAAACACTCGTATGTGGCTTCCAACAGAGCAAAAGAGACACTTGAAAACCTAAAGCCAAGGACTCTCCACCTAGTAAATTCTGCTTATTTTAACCAAAGAATGTCAACTAATCATGGTTATTGTTCCAACTAGTAAAATAGAACAGGTTAGAGATAGGATAATATAATTTTTTTTAAAGTTGTGGATGACTCACCTCTTAGTTTTGTTTTTGTTTTGACATCCAAATGGTTACTAAGTGTTAGTATAAGTTTAAACTTCAGGCCTGCAAGAGAAATGTAGTTAAGGACTCATCCTGCCCACTCTACCCCCACCATGCCCTCATCATGTACACTTGGCCCTTTCTTTTTCTTTATTGAGTTCCCAATCACCCAGTCGCAGTGAGGGCTTAGGCTATAATTACACATAGAAAACTAAGGTATTTTTGTTTTTCATGTTGCGTTTTTGCCAAGCTGTCATGACACTGAAGTGCCTTGTTTGTTTGGCATTGATGCTCCAGTCAAGTGCAGGAGAGAACATTCAAACCTCGGTCTGAAATGTTCAATCTATCTTAGGTGGTTCCAGTGAATTTCACACAATGAATTTCACATGTGGGCAGCTAGGTGGCACAGTGAATAGAGTGCCTGACCTGGAGTCAGGAAGACTCATCTGCTGTTGGGACCCTGGACAAGTCACTTAACCCTATTTGCCTTGGTTTCCTCATCTGTAAAATGAGCTAGAGAAGGAAACAGCAAACCATTACAGTATCTTTGCCAAGAAAACCCCAAATGCAGTCAAAAAAGAGTTGGACACAACTGAAAAATGAACAAAAACAAAGGCTATGTGGTATATCCCTAAGAAAACCATCTTTTTTTTTTTTAAAGGCAGTTGGGGTTAAGTGACTTGCCCAGGGTCACACAGCTAGTAAGTGTCAAGTGTTTGGTCTGAGACCGGATCTGAACTCAGGTACTCCTGACTTCAGGGCCAGTGCTCTATCCACTGCGCCACCTAGCTGCCCCCTAAGAAAAACCATCTTAAGGGGAGAAAAAAAGGGGTCTACAATCACTGTATTTTGTATGACTATTTTTTGACTTCTGGTTACAGTTGTTTTTGTTTCAGTCTACTATGCTGTTACTGAGTTTGTTTAATTAAAAATCTACCCCTTTTTTTTACCCTCCTGTTAACTGAAGTTTAATTATATCCATAGACAGTAGTGTTCATTCCAACACTTACACAAGCCTCCTCTTTTTGAATGGCTCTGAATCACTTGGGAAACAATGCTGCTGTTTTTAATGTATTTTAAAGTACTCTTTCTGAGTAGGTATTTTGAGCAGAATTAGGATGGATCCTTATTTTTTGTTTTTGTTTTTCTGGTAACTAGCATAAACCCCATTCCCCTGCTATTTCTCATTTGTCAGAAAAATATGGAATCCTAATTTAATTACCATTTGATTTCTTACTCTGACAAGTTGGTTAAAATTTTTTAAATGTAAAATCTTTTCAGAGCATTAAGTGCCTCCCTTAAATGGACATTTCATGTTTTCCATTTTCTAGATTGGCAGGCTTGTATTTTATCTGGTTTATTAATTATACACATTTTTCAGGATAGTTTTTTAAACCTTTATTATTCTTTTGTGCAAGAGCATATAGTGTACAAAACCAACTGAAGGGGATGTGCTAAAGTGCACATAGAGATTTTTTTAAAAAGTCTAGCGATAATTCTTGTACACATTCATTTAACATAATTCATTTGTTACTTTAGTTTCAAGGCTGCTGCCTTGTTTATTGAGTTATTTTGTATCTCTGTCTATTTTTAATATTTTTACTCTAGCTAGGGCTAGAGTTAAGAATAACAAAGAAGTTCTTTTCAGTAGATGAAATTTTTATTCTTAATAAGAATAGTTTAACTCAGGGCATGATCCAAATTTGAGAATTTCTTGAAAAAGGAATTGCTTTTTAGTTACAAGATTCTCCTTAACACTAACTATCCCTACCCTCACCCTGCCCCCAAAAAAATGCTGTTTAAGTTTTCTCCAGATACTATGATTCTATGTTTAAGAAAAATTCACAATGTTTTCCAAGTGCCCAGAGTGTGCTGGAAGACCACACAGAATCAGTGTAGGAAGCCAAGGTACAGCTGAGAGTCAGGATAATTGTTAGGCTGGAAGAGCTGATCAAATGAGACAGTAGTTGTAAGGTGCTTTGTAACTTTAACACACTATATATGTCAGTTATTATAACTTAACTATTTTCTTTCCACTTGACAGTAATAATGTTTTTGTGCACATGGAGCATAAATACTGTTTCCCAATAGGAGGCTGGGAAGAGGGAGGGGAAGCTGTACTAGAGCAGAAAATTGGCATTGGAAAGCCACATAGCAGTCAGCTCTGAGAGGACAGTCATGGGAGAGAGCCAAAGCAGATGGCCTAAAGGGCATCTAGTAGATTTCCCTGACTTTGAAGATGAAGAAACTGAGGTTCAGAGTGATGAAGAGACTTTCCTAGAACAAGAATGGTGCAGGTGATGCAGGTAATCAGGGGGGTGAGAAAGAGGCTAATAAGTAGGACAGGGCAGTAGTTGGTAATAGAAGAGCTTTCATCAGGCTTAATTCATAGAATAGGTCATAGGAGAGCCAGCCAAAACAATTCATTTATAGGATTAAAATGTTTACTGTAGAATAAAATAAAAACATTGCAACTTTTCACATACAGATCTGTTGAGAAGTTTTTAAACACAGAATCTCAAATTAGAGGAGGCCTCAGAGATGATCTAATCCACCCTATACCTAGACAGAAATCCCACTGCAAGATCCCTAACAAATTGTCAGTGAAGCCTTCATTTGAAGACGTGGCAGGCTCATTGCACTTTGGGCAGCTCTAATCATTAGAAAGGTTTTTCTTGTGTCAAGGCAAAATTTGTTCCCTGCCCCCTCCCCCAGCTTCTACCAAGCTTCAACAAGTCTAAATCCTGTTCCTCAAATACTTGACAGCTGTCTTGCCTACCCCACTCCCTGACCCCCACCAGTTTCCACATGACATGGTAGCCATCCTGGTTGCCTTTCTGTGTATACTTCATTATTCACGGTTCATCAGTGTCCTTCCTAAAATGTGGAACCATAGTAGTCATGATGTAGTCCCACCAGAACCGAATAATAATAATTGTTAAAAATAATTATTATTAGAATTATAATAGCAAACATTTGTATAGCACTTTTAAGATTTGCAAAGTGCTTCACAAATATAGTCTCATTTTATCCTCACAAAAATCCTGTGAAGTAGGTGATATCTTCATTTAATTGTAGCTGAGGGAGGTTATGTGACTTGCCCAGGGTCACACAGCTGGTGTGTAAGGCTAGATTCTAATTCACGTCTTTCTAGCTCCAAAGCCAACATTATGCCAGAATACACATATACCAAGTTTGTACACACATGCCAGAATACAAAGCTAGGACAACTTGCTTGTTCTGGAAATAATACCAGCATTAATGCAGCCTAAGATAGGATTAGGGTTTTTATCTTCTGACCCATATTGAGTTTATAGTGTTCTAAAACTTCCAGATGGTCATCATTGTTGTTGTTTTAATTTCCCAACTTGGTAAAATATTTTTTAAAAAGAAACAACTTTTTTTCTCCCCATCCCCACCAAACTTTTCCTTAAAACAACAGGAAAAGCAAAAATGACCTCATTTGATATCATAGGCAACATTTCACACTTCTCTTCTTCCTGTACCCCACCCCCACAGTAAGGTATGAGATAAGTTTAATTATCTGTTCTCTGTAAACAAAATAAATTGGTCTTTGTATTTAATCTGAGTTCAGTTGCCTTTTAATTTTGTCCTTTAGATTACTGTAGTCACAGGATGTGTGGTTCTCCTGGTTTCACCTTCTTAACTGCATCAGTTCATGGAAGTCTTTCATGTTCCTACACATTTGTCAGTATTTGTTGCTTCTTACAGTGCAAGGACATACATCATTGCATTCCTGTACTGCATTTATTTCCCTATTACCCAGTCAACAGGGGAGCTGCTTTTAGTTTCATTTTTTTTTTCTACAAAAAGTATGAGGATGAATATATGGAACCTTTTGTTTTGTCTTTGACCTCCTTATGTGAAAGGGTATGACTTGGTGGATCAAAAGATAAGAGTATTTCAGTGATTTCCCCCCTATAATTCCAAATGATTTTCTATCAAAAATTAATTTAGTGTGTCTGTCATCCCATAGCTCCTCCAGTATTAACTTTTTCTGTTTTTTATCATCTTTACCAATTTGCTGGTGTGAAGCAAAACATCAGAGTTGTTTTAATTTGCTTTTCTTCTCTTGGTGGTTTAGAGCAGTGGCAACAAATTCAGATAGAAATGGATCCCTGCTGATGGCATATTGCCTTAGAAAACTTCAAGTTAGCATTATGTTGTGTTGTATTTTATTTATTTTGTTAAATATTTCCCAATTTTTCATAT